TTCCATTTAAAATTCATCTTCAAAGAACTTTGTGAAAGCTCATTTGAGACATGTTTCTCTCTGCTGCGGTATGTCCAACCCTCCCCGGCTAAAAAACGGACATAAAGGTTGGACGAACAAATGTTTAATGTTTGGCTTCATATTCATCTACAAAGCTTTTCATTATAAATGAATGAATTTCATTATATTGCATTTCATTATCCCATGAATTTTGTAATAATGTGGCAACAGCAATTTGCTGGGAAAGCTCAAGAACAAATAAAATTTAATGATGACTTTAACAGGCAGAAAAGTGAGTTCTTTAAGCCTTATCTGTCAACTATAAAACATATTTCATATGTTTAACATGGGAGTTAAGAAAAAAAGTTAATAATTTTTAAATAAATGCCAAACTGAGTTTCATGGAAATACAGTGAACATTAAGGTGCTTGTTAACTTTAACAAGCAGATGAAAGAACGAGCCTTTGTAGAGTTAGCTTTGATATACAAAATATTTATTCACTTTTCTCTCAATTGCAATTAACAATATATATATTTCTTAACATTTAACACTTGAAAATATTTCCAAATCAGAGATTTGATGTGGTCTCTGTTGTGTCAGTCAATTATTTTATGATTTTTTGTATTTAGTTTAGGCTTATCAAGTGATAAATAAATATTTACTACTCAAATTCATTTCATAATTAAAAAAAAAAAACTGTGAATCGGTCAAATGGCAACCGCAACAATTTTGTGCTTGCGGCCCGGCCCGGCTTTGGCTTTACCTTTTGAACATTTCATCATTTGCCATTTTCCATTTTCCATTCTGCACATTCTATTTTGCATATAACATTTACCTTCAACCCGATTCTCGCTTGCCCTTTGGGGATTTGCGAGCCGTTTCATTTGAAAGATCAAACAGCTGTTGGGTAACTTAGGATTGTAATCCTCACACCGCATTGCACACACCGATTGCCGTATTAGCTGTACCCTAGACTGGGCATGTGGCATGTGGCATGCGGCATGTGGCATAAACTGTGCCCAACCCCCGCTAGCTGCTGGATTTGCATAAGCTAATAACCCAACTTTGGACCTGGACGCAGCGACTGGGCGAGCTGAACAACTGGCCACAGCAGCCGCAAGTGCAACAGACATCACAGGGGCACACACACACCCTCCTACACACACACACACACACACACACACACACACACGCAATAAGCTTGACAATTCCGGGCTTTCATTTGGCCCCAAAATAAATCTAAGCGACACCACGCACCGCACACTTACACCTAATGACGTTTTATTACAAACTTAATAGAGTCACGGCGAATCACGACGAAACGTAGCTGAGCGCATATCGACGACATTTCCCATACCCTGCAAACGGGGGCTCGTTGATTCGGGCGCCGCCATTTCTGGTCATTGTCCATTTAATATCATAAATTAATATGCAAATTACAAATTTCATTTAAGCCAACGACACGAAATTGAAATTGTTCGTTAACATACCCTATACTAAATGCATGAGGGTATATTGGTGACAGGGCAGCTTAGTTATCCGTTCGACTGTCTGGATTTGAATCCTGGTACGTAGGTCCTAATACATCCTATACAAATCGATATCTTACGCCATTTGCATGAAATCGATAATTATCGATTTTCACATGAGATTTTCTGAGAGACAGAGACAACAAACTTTGTTGTTATAATATAACTTTCACTTTAATAAAAATGTATGTGCCGGCTTGAACTTGGGTATATTCAAGTCAAGAACTCACACCTCAGAGTGGGAAAAAAAGCAAGCTTGAATAATTCCAAAGGCAGTCGGTCGCTGTGCCCAGGGTATCTCTGAGTCGGGCACTCGCTAGTTTGTGCCCATTATAAACGAAAAATACTTCCCGGCCGCACTTCACACCCGGCAACGCATATAAATACAGCTGGTTTATTGCATGAACTTTATAAAGTTGCGGTCTCAACAATATAAATTATCGAGTATTGGGAAGTTCTTTTCATTTTTTACAGCCACTAAAAAGATAGCTAGAATTAAAGAGTTTGCTTAACTCTTAACTCTCAAAGGTCCTTCAATACTTTTATAAAAATATATTCCGAGCTCTTTTAATTATCTGAAATATTGTGTCTAGTTGTGTCTTTCAAAAATTCTTGACATTTTCCAAATTTGTAACAAACTAAAACTTTGTTGATATTTCAATTTAAATTTGGTTGGCAAATCCAAAGATTGCCAAATAAAAAGTTTCTTAAAATATACCCGCGTATAAATAAATATGAAGCTGTCAGGTGGGATACGAAATTGGGTCACAATCTGGCCGAAAATTTGACTATTTAATATGAAGATAATTAAATGTGGCTCTATTTAAAATAAACATTTGCCGATCCTCAAGATAATTCAAGGATATTTCATTCCTTCATTCCATTCAACATACTTTTTATGTTGTCTCCACTTTAGTTCTTCTCTCAAATGTGTTGTCTGTCTTAGCCAGTTCCACACCTTTTTTTTTTTAAATCTGTTTCTCTGTGCCCAAATAGATTTTCTGATTTGTTCTTAAGTGTTCCATTTGTTGTCGTTATATTTTTACATCTCTTTTGCCACAATGTACCTCATTCAACTCATTTAACTCTTGTTCCTTCACAAGTTCACAATGTGTTCTCAACTTTGGTCAACTCTGTTCACAAATCTCTCTCTACATGAACAGTTGTCTTTACGATATTCTCATTACTGTTCACAGCTCTGTTAGCGATCTGTACCCAACTGTATTCTGAGCTCTGTTCCCAGAATCGAGCTCCGCTTCGTTCTCGGCTCTGTTCAAAATTATCTGCCCAAATATAGGTATTAGCTGTATCATATATATACAATAATTCGTGAATGTGCCTGCATCACATTTGTTAACATTTTCCATTTTATTTTGAATCCGTACCCAGCTCTAGATTTCAATCTGTTCTCTGTTGATTTTACAGCATGTTATTAAATCTAAGCTCAACTCTACACTAAGTTAAGATTTCCCATTATTGATTCGGTCTGCTTTTTATTTGTTCCCAGCTTCCTTTTATCTACCCAACTCTGTTCAATGTCAAATTCTTTTGTATTCTCAGTTTGCTTCGACTTCACATTAAGCTCTGCTCATATCAATCTGTTCTCAGCTGCTAGCAGGCTTCGCCAAGCTGTTCACAGCTCTGCAGCGTATCGTCTTGTTAAATCTGTACCCGATTCTGCTCTCAACTCTTTTCCCGCACCCATTTATAATGATCCCACTATTTAATGTATTGCCAGCCAGTGTCAGCACTCTGTTCCCAGCCTAGGTGTTGCCCGAAAGGCTCCCCTGCGCGGACCCCAGCGCGATCTCTTGACGCATCCAGCTATTTGGGAGCCGGCTGATGCTCCACATGGCCAATGTCTCAGCCAGATTGTGAGATTGTGGGGCCCGGCGCGTTTTGTTTTTATTGATCGCCGAATGCTGCCAACATAGCGAGTATATAAAATAATTGTATTCAATTGAATGCCGCGATGTGTTCCCAATGCATAAACAGTTCGCAAGATTTTGTTTATTTGCCCAAGACTTACGCATCATCATTATCGTCATGACAGATGTGGCCACGGGCGGCTGGACTTCGAATGGGATTTGCTGGGCTTTCTGCTTCTTTCCCTCCTTCTTCTTCTTCTGCTTTGGCTATTCAAATAGCCAATAAACAATCAACACAAATCTTAGGATTTGTTGCCAATCAAACTGTGCAAAAAAAATACACGCACACAAACACAAGCACAAAAAACAAAAACAAACGGAGAACGCGTCACGCTTAACCACTTTCCACTCTCCACTCTCCACTTTCCACTCTCCACTTTCCACTGGAACTTAACTGAGATCAGTGCGCAAGCAGTTCGAATTATCGGGTTCGGTTTGGCGAGTTCGAAAGAATTCGAATTACGTTTCGTAACTTATGTTCAATTTGGCTGCTCCTTTAAACATTTTCGTTGAATGCGCGCATTCGTTGGCAGCGCGCTCGCGAAGCTAACGGTAACAACTGAAGCGAGCGCTTGCAACATGTGGCATCTGCTGCTGCCGCCGCCGCCGCCGCTGCTGCCGAAGTTGATGCCGGTGCCCGACGCCCGACGCCCGACGCCCGATTGCCCGATGCCGAAACGTGCTCAATGAACGAACAGCTGATAAATTTATGAATGAAAAAAGCTTCGCAGCGGGCGTCAAGTTCAAGGTGAAAAGCGTCGCGCTGCAAGCTCTTCACAATATTTGTATGTGCTTGCCAAAGCTCAGGAATGTAACGGAAATTAACCGTTCAGTGTCGGACTCGGAACAAGCGCTAGTTTTAATACGTAGCAAAAGAAATACAGCGAGTATTCAGGGATTTCTAAGGCACGCCGAAGCTAAAATACCCTTTTAGACAATCGCCTTAAAGTTGTGCAGATAAGTGAGAACAGTGAAGCGAGTTTGATGAAATTATCTAGAAAAACAGAATATTTTGAGACCCTAAAACTCAATTTCAACCGATTCTTTTTATAGCGCTATAGAATATAGTATCCTTCTTAAGAAAAAGTTGTTTTAGTGTGCTTTACCTATTCAAAATATTTTGTACAATGTAACACTGCTTGTACACTGCTTGCACACTGCTTGCATACGCACTGCTTGGTACTTACATAAAAAACGCTCGCATTTTTTCTTAAATCAGTTTATTTAGTTATCAATTCTTAAGCTCAAGTAAATATGACTTAAAGAAATGCTTCTGAGGCGAGAATATCTATTCAAGTTTAAAAACTGAACTCTTGTCCAAAAGCAAATACTTAAGTCTAGCCGAAGAATGGGGGGATCTTTCAGTTTTGCCAGACAAGACGTGACTTCAAAGTGTTTGGCCAAATTCCGTGCAATTCCTGTTAATACTCCCCATCTTATGCTCGCTCTTCCACCCAAAAACAAAAACTCGGCGCATTTCTTGATAAATAACTTATTTAATAATAATTTAATATACATGGAAGAAATATCAATGATAGAAAGACAGACAACAAAAAAAAAAAAAAAAATATTGTGGAAAATGTTGACAAGATGGACTCCAACAGACGGTGAGGGGGGATAAGGTGGCGCTCAGTAGTGCTGATAGCTCTGCTGCTGCTGCTGCTGTTGCTGCTGCTGCTGATGGGCTAGATTCGCCTGGGCGAAGATATGCTCGATCTCGGCATTGCTGAGCTGATCAAAAATGTCGTGGGCCCCGTGGCCGGCACTGGCGGCCGTTAGCTGTGCCGCCTGTGTGTTAACGGGCGGCAGATAGCCTGAGAAGCGCAAAGAGAGGCGTTTTTTTGAGTAGACGTTGCCATTGGGCTGGGCTGCTTGATACTTACCATCAGCTGGCGCGCTGCCGTAGGGCGGCAATAGGGTAATGGCTGGGCGGCTGGGCGTGGCTGGGGGCTGATAGAAGACCGGCTTCCAAGGCTGTTGAGGCTGTGTGGGCTGTGGGGCGGGCTGCGGCTGCGGCTGCTCGGGCTGCTCCGACTCCGGCGTGTTGGGTATCTGCGGCGAGGCGATGGCTGTGCCCGTCTCTGGCTGCACGGGTGTCGATCCGGGCAGTGGCACTATGCCGCCCGGAAACTGCGCCTCCGGCTGCCCAAAGCTGGGCGGCTGCTGGGGCAGCGGCGGCTGCACGGCGGCGGGAAAGAACTGGCTATTGGGCGGTGCGCCGGGCGCAGCCGGAAACGCGGGCAGCGCGGGATTGGCCGGCGTCGCGGGCACAGCTGGAGCAGCGGGCGTGGCGGGCACAGCCGGAACGGCCGGAACAGCGGGCTGCTGTGGGAACTGTGGCACCTGTGGGAAGGGGAACTGCGGAATGCTGAACTGTGGGAACGTTGGGAACTGCGGGAACTGCGGAATTTGTGGAATCTCTGGTATCTGAGGTATCTGCGGTATCTGCGGAATCTGTGGTATCGCAGGCTCTTCGGGCGTGGTGGGTGCAGCCGGAACCGCAGCTGCTGGCTGCACAGCGAACGTGGGCCCCGAGAACACGGGAAACTCAGCGACAGCCGGGCTGGCGGGGGCAAAGCTCACGCCAGGATGCAGTGCAGCCACATGCTGCACGGGCTGCACGGGCTGCACGGGCTGGACGGGCTGCACAGGTTGCACAGGCTGAATGGGTTGAATGGGCAGCGCGGGAGCAGCAGGAGCGACAGCCTGAACATAGGTGGGCTGCAGGTAATCGGGCCATGAGCGTGGAGGAGTAACTGCAGCCGGATAACTTACCTGATGATAGTGCAGGGGCTTCAGCGGTCGGTGCAGATGCTGATGCGGATAGTTGACGCTGTACGAGGAGACGACCGCATTGCCCGGACGCAGCACATACGAAGGTGGCGCAGCCACGGCGGAGGCGATGCCACCAACAGCGGGCAGCCCGGAGACGGCGGGCAGGCCGGAGACAGCGGGCAGCGCGGGAACAGCCGTGGCAGCGGGCAGGAACGCAGAGGCGGGCGCAAACTGTTTGATGTGATAGCCGCCCAGGCCAGACGGATACTTAACGAAACCATGATGGCGGTGGGCGGGCGCAGCTGCCAGGAATGTGGCCGCCGCAGGCAGCTGCAAGCTGTAGCCATACTGGGAGGCATAGGTGCGGGCGGGCCAGTGGCCGGCGGTGGCGCCATGCAGTATGCCACGCTTGTGCTTGCCGGTGGCCAGCGGCTGCTCCTGCTCCCGCTTCTGGGTTGGCTCCTCGGTTGCCGTCTCCGGCTGCTGCTCCGTGGCGGCGGCTGTGGTGGCCACGGTGGTGGGCGTGGTGCTGACCAAGCGACTGCCATGGCGCAGACGCAACGAGGCGTGGGCAGCCCGGCCGCTGGGCAAGACAACGCCCAGCAGTAACAGCAACAGCAGCGGGCGGCATCTGCTCCTGGCACTGGCTCGACCTGAACTGCGGCTCATCATGTTGTTGGCTGCTTGCTAATCCGTTTACGACTTTCGATTCCGTTTCGGCTGGCTGGCGAATGGCAGTTGGATTATGTCAACGCGTCGATTGTTGCCAAGAAAATGAAATGAACTTCCTTGGTGTTTCTTGTATTTATAAAGCGGATATCGACGTGCGACGCCGCCGGCACCGCGGCTGCATACCAAATAGCCCAGCGGCTGTGGGCGCACTCCGCGCTCATCGGCATGGCCAGCGGCAATTGGCCAGTTTATGGCTTTTACGCGGCCATTTCACCTGACCCAAACGCCGGACAGCGGCTCATTATGCTAACGCCAAGCAGCCCCAGCTCTGCACAGTGGGCCACAGCAGGTGTTAAGTGAACCAATTCAATTCGATTCAAACTAATTTTAGAGCCAGTGTGGAATAAGTGTGCGTAGTAAAATTAAAAAAAAAAAAACAAATGCTTGCCGTCAAGTGTTCCGTTTCCATTTGTTCCACTTCATTTGAAGCGATGATAACGATGGAACACGATGGACATGCTTTAAACATTGACAGTGCTCCATTTCTATTTCATTTCCATTGTCTCTAAATCAAAATAATAGTTAACGTTAGCAAACATTTAAATTTAAGGCCCACTTCCATTTGTTCCATTAGTTCTTTCAACTGACAGTTCGAGATCATCTAATATACAGCCTCAAACAATGACAGTGTTCCATTTTTTAGCTAGGTCCCAAGTCATGTTATTGCAAATTTCTAAATTGAGTGTTTCATTTTCGTTTGTTCCCCTGAGTGAAGCTATCAAAATATGGGGGACAAGAAAACGACAAGGATTGTTGTGATAGTAAGGTACAGCAGCCGCTCGCTAAGTGGAACGCTTCTGTTTCAAATATGCTTAAGTTTGCGACTAATTTTTATTTTTAAAAGTTATTTTTTACAAGTGGGAGGATTAATTATGGAATATCAGCTGAATTAACTATTCAATAAATGTGTTTTAGGCAAACTTAAAGGCGTTTTCCATAATTTTATATTAAAGCAAAACAAAAATATATATAGTTTTAAAAATTTCTTAATTTTAAATGGATTATAATTGAATTTCCAGTATGCAGAACAATTTAGTTACAGGCAGTGCTAATATTTGTGCCACCGCTGTACAAGCAGGGCAAGCAAATGCCTCTGATTCACTCTCTCTCTCTCTCTCTCGCACTCTCTGTCTATCTCTTTCATTTAGCGCCTTAAAGAGCTTTAGTTTTCCTTGCCATTCTTTTTGCTTTGAACCACTGTGCCCTTGCGGGGGTGGACAGGCCTGTGCGGTGTTGTAGCAGTGTGTCTGTCCACCTGTACAGGTGGCACGTTTCTGCACGTACGTACAAACTTTTGTTTTCATTTTGCTGCTGGCACATTTCACTTTCAGCCGCTGGCCAACAGGTGCCTAAAAAAGGTAGCTCGTTGTCATATTTTGGGCCATTTGATGCGACGCGAAGCCTTTTATGACCCGGTTGCATCACAAAGTGCAGCCCAGCTAAAAACTGGGCCAATCAGAGCTGAGCAAAGTGCTGCCAATTTGCTGCAGAGCAGCGAAAGCAAACACAAAAAATAATTACTTTAAATACCTCGCTAAACTATCAATTACTTTTGATTTGATTTGATTTGAACGCGATGCGATTCGAGTTTGATTTTTGATTTTATTTGTTTGTCGCTTAGCTTTAGTTAAAATTCAACATTCACACGCATAAATTTCACTTGCACTAAATTTGATGTGTGTGTTGGCAAGGGGCAGGCCGAGGGGGGGCCAGCGCATATTGCCGGTGGGTGTGGCCCGAGTGAGGTGGGGCGGGGGCAATTGACATTATATCACACACTCCGGCGCACAAGTCCAATTGAATTCCCAATTAGCCCACATTTTCACTTTTGTTTTGTGTCTTTTTGGAAAATCGAGCTGGAAACCGATTTGGAATTTTGATGTGTTTTACATATTTAACGCGATCTATAAAAGGTAGCCCCCACAACGTCAAGGTCTTTCCCAGGCTGGCCGAGGCTCACAATAAGCCGTCGATCAATTTTTGGCACATGTAATATGTTAACAATGTTTATAAAACTTTAATTTTAACGAGCGCCATGTAAAACGAAGAGCATAAAACAAAAAAAAAATATATATATATAGGTGGGAGAACGTGTTTAGCATGTTTAAAGAAGAAGGCAAAATCATAATAATAATACAAAGTACAAGAAAAGGCAAACTGTGCAACAGGACTTCTAAATTTCGCTCAGATTTTTGTGTACAGGAATATTGGAACAGGTGCCACATGTGACTACAGCTTGAAGCCGGAGTGTATGCTGACAACGCCAAAGGTTAGATTCTCGTAGGTCACATGCGCAAAGCCGGCCTGCTCGATCATGCTCTTGAATTGCTCCTGCCGCGGAAAGCGTCGTATGCTCTCGACCAAATACTGATAGGCGTGCCACTGGCCAGCCAGCAGCTGGCCCATTGGCGGTATCACCTGGAAGGAGTACTGATCGTATAGCCACTGCAGCGTCTCGTTGTTCAAATGGCTGAACTCCAGACACATGAAACGACCGCCGGGCTGCAGCACACGATACGCCTCGCTCAGCACCTAAAACCGAACACATAAGACACATTATCGCAAACAGGATAATAAGTTACACAGTGCTTACCTTGTCCACGTGCGTGCAGTTGCGTATGCCAAAGGCAATGGTGTACGCTGTGAAGCTGTCGCTCTTGAAGGGCAGCTTCTCGGCATCGGCACACTGCCAGTCGATGCTGGCATTGGGCAGCCGTTCAGCGGTCAGGCCCAGCTGGCGGGCACGCTCCTTGCCCACGTTCAGCATATGCTGATTGATGTCCGAAACGGTTACATGGCTTTCACGTTGTTTTGTATTCGGCTGCTTGGCCAAGTACTTCAGATACCGAAAACTGATATCGCCCGTGCCGCCGGCCATGTCCAGCAGCCGCATGCCATGCTCGGGACCCAAACGCTCAATGAATATGTCCTTCCACACGCGATGTATGCCCATCGACATGGCATCGTTCATCAGGTCATACGACTGGGCCACCTGCTCAAACACCTCGTGCACTGCAAGCAATACAGTTAGCAATTAAATGGGTTTGGACTTTATTATCTATGTTTGTTTCTATGCACGCCAACTGTCCAGTTCTAAAGAGTTCCTTATGAGCAACTTGGCAAGGAAGCTTAGTTCGTAGTCAGCCGGATTGAAGCACTACATCACATAGTTGTCATGGCCATGAATCGTTTATAAACATATTGGTATACTCTATTCTTTAAGGCACATTGACCCAGCTTGGCATTTAACCACGCAAGAGCGCCATAAAAAGATCGGACCACAAAATCGTGCAGCTCTCGCTGAAGAATTTGTCTAGAATTGAGCACATTTCTGTTTCTCTGCAAGGGTATTTATTGTGCGGCGTCCCGGCAACAGCTGTTATTTCTTGTTTATTTGTTTTACTTCTGCTTCTTTTGCTCACCTTTCAGCTCCTTTTCGCTTTCCTTCACCGTCTGGTAGCCGAAATGCGTTGTCTGTTCTGTGCCGCTGGTGGCTGTTGTTGGATTGGCCGCGGTTGCGGACGTGCGTCTGAGTAGGAGCCGGGCCAGGTTGGCGAGTTTGCGTGTGTTTTGCATTGTTATTTAATACAGCTTAAAGCTAATTTAGCTTAGTGAATGTTCTAACAAAATTATTATGAAATAAAAGAATTTGGGCAGCGGCGGCGGCGGCGACGGCGCTAACAGCTGTTCTCTACTCGTGCAGCTATAGTTGTCCCTGTCCCACTCACAGTCATTCGATACATATGCGCGAGCTATCGATATACATATATATATAAGAATACGCGCCAATTAGCATAAATTCAAAAACGCGTAATTAACTTAATTATAAAGTGTGTTGAATTGAATTTGACTTGTTTTATGCAGACTACGGAGTGTTAAAATCTATTTAGACTTCTTACCATGGTGCGAATCAAATTCGTATAGTATTAGATAATGCGCGAGTAAAATACCAATTGTACATTAATGGATATTGGAATCAACAAGGAATACAAATAGAAAGCAAGCAAATTAATAAACCTAAAAATTGTTCGGCTAGTCTTCGGGATTCTGAGCCCAACATGACAACTGTGCTGATAGCATATACCATATATTCCAATTTCACATATGGAAAGCTAAAGCTTTCGCGCAATTGACAAAACCTGTGCTCTGCTCTGACACAATTCAAACGAGTATTTTCTTATCGATAGTAGGCTGAGCTGCACATTTTGCTAGTTTGATTTTACAGCTAAACACAAGCAAGCTGGTATTTTTGAGTGGCTGCACGCTGGTCACACTGACCGGTTAACAGTTCAATTTGTTGCTGATCTTCGTGCGCTTTGGTTGTGCGTCGTCTCAATTTTTATTTTACATTTTTTTTTGTGGTGTATCGCGCGCCGGCTGTTCAAATAACATACGTTCGCCAAAATAAACTAAAAATACATTTGCACTGTTGTTTTTGAAACGCAAAGTTCACATTTTGCCCGTCTATGTGTGTGTGTGTGTGTTAAAGTGCTGAAAATGTGTTTTTAATTGAAATTTGTTGCCATGCAGCATGCAATGTGCACCTGTGTCCGCGCAGTCAGTGAAGCCTGAAAAGCCAAGCCACAAAAGTGTAAAGTGCACTCGCCAGCAAAGCTGTTGAAAAAGAAGAATTAAGCCGAAACAAAACAAAGCGAAAAGTAATAGCAGCAACGAAAACGACAACAACAACAACAATAACAACAACAACAACAACAATAATAATAACAACGCAATTCGCAACTCGAGAATTTCGCGCGTCGCTCGCTGCGCTCCAATTGCAAAGAAGCGCTTGGCTCTTATTGTTGTTGCTGTTGTTGTTGCTGTTGGGTGTGTTTGTCTTCTTCTGCTAAGCGACCCACACAAATGAGGTAAACAACAACACCCACACACCCACACACACGCACACACACAAACACATTGCTAGATTCTGCTTGAATTCTTCAACTTCAACTCCCCTTCGCAATTTTACAACACTTGTAATTTGATGCTTTTGTTTGTTTACTTTTTGTTATGGCTAAGCCATAAGGTTGCCAGACTTTTGTTGTTGTTGCTTTTATTGTTGGCGTTGCCGTTGCCGTTGCCCAGGCAGCTCGCCCGTTGTTTAAGCCGTCTAACGGCGGTCCGACACCATTTTTGGGCCATGTGAACACGGCAAATGCGTTAATTGCGTGCGGCCTTCAATTATGAAGAGTTTATTAAAACACCAAATTTTGTCGCTGTCATCGTATATAACGATTTGCTCCAAATACTGTTCCATATGAAGTTCAAGCAACTAGAAAGTTCTGAGAGCGGCATGCGACACGCCTACCGCCTCACGCCCACTTTCACGGCCGACAATTGATTATGATTGCGCCTGATTGATGGATTGATCGTTTGGCTTGCGGCTGCTTGGGCTGCTTGGGCTTATGCAATGCCCAGCCATTTGGCCGGATTACACACACACACACACACACACAGTTGCAATCGCTCTCAATCAGTGTTAGCCAAAGGCTTGAGCCGTGTGTCTGCAGCGCGGGGCAAAAGACAGACTTTCGAATGGCGTTTGGCGACTTGTGGGCCAATCGGTTAATTGCATTTCCTGGACACTCGTCATCGTCATCATCATCGTCATCGTCAGCATCTATTATGATCATCATCAATCGCTGGCGTTAATTGTATTTTAATTACCAGGCGTTGGAGTTGCCGTTGACGCTGGTCACACTGCAAACACATGCAAATTGCGGTATTTGCAGTATTGCAAAATCCATAAAAACAAACACTCAAAATGCTTCACGCCAGTTTGCTGCTCCAACGCATACCCTGTACTTCGCTCGAGCGAATACTCACATTTTTACTCTGCCAGAAAAGTTTATTCAATTAAGTGGAAGAATTTATAAGAATGATCTTTTTCAATGAATGTTTCCTTTCGTTTATTGTAGGATTTTTTGTTACTAAACAAACTTATTTGTTACCTTCAAAGATACACAAAAAAAAAACACGGCTAACGCAAGAGAACGTACGCCCAATGTCGAGCACTCTATTTGGAAAGTATGAAAATAGCTGGGGAGCTAACCATTGCTAGAGCTTTCACTGTGTGCACTTGAGTAGTAAAAACTAACTAAATGTTGATAATATTGTTAAACAATTGCGTATTGCAGCCCAATACTTTTTGTCTGGATAAGTAGAACAAGCGAGGCTGGAAGAAGGAGAAAATGTGTTTGCAGGTTAAATATGATTAAAATGCATTTTGCCTGGAAGATAGCAAAGCAATTCGCCTGGAAGTTAAGACACCAATTGATCTAAACGATAAAAAGATACCCTATGTTAACAGCCGCCGCTTTGCAGGGTATAAAATGCATAATACAAAATGCCAATTCACGTTGAAGCGTATCTCATAGATACACAAAATTGAAATTATAAAAATGTTGCTGCCGCTGTTGCTGCTGCTGCTGCTGCTGTTGTTGCAGGCGGCCCCATAAAAAGGCTCCTTTTGTAATTCAAAACTGCCGGCAAGCAGCAACCAGTTGGACGCCCAACGGCCCAGTCCCAATCCCAGTCCCAGTACCCAATACCCAGCCGAAGCCGAAGCCGCAGCCGCAGTTGCCCAGCCAGTTGGCCGCCTCGGACGGCATATTTATTTTTTATTTATTTTTTTTCTAACAGTCTGTTTTGCGGACGGACTTGCGGACTGGTTGGCGCTGCGGATTGGCATTTGTAGGATAAGCAGCAGCAGCAGCAGCCGTCGCAGACACAGCCGGTCGCACAAGCGAGCCAGTTTTTACACACTACAACAAAAGCTGCCGACAACAAACAATCTCAATTGCTGCTGTTGTTCTTGTTATTGTTATTGTTATTGTTGTTGTTGTTGTTGTTGCGAATACCTTGGCGCACGGGTATCGCTGGCTGCATGTATAGCACATGCAAAAGGGAAGCTTGTGGTACACCATTCTAAGACACAACTCATAATTAAGCGTTGATCTCCAGGAAATACTTGAGAGCTCTACAATTTTCCATTCTGCTGCTTCACGGCGTCTTAATTTGTTGAAAAATGCAGCTGTGGCAGGCGTTTATAGCTGTTAACAGCTGCTCTTATTAACATTCGGCTTAGCTAACAGCAGCTGCTGCACTGTTATTAACATGCGTTTGTTATGCATATATTTGTGCGTGGCAGCTCGAGAGCTCCCTTTAAAACATGATTTATTTCTATGCAATTTAAGCCTTTGAACTTAACTTATCAACGTAAAGCCCAACTTATCCTTATGAATCGTAATTTGACTCTCTAAAATTAAGTTTACTTCTTTGACTCAACTTATCCCTTTTTTATTCAGGCCAATATATCCCTTTAAAACATAACTTATCTTATTTAAATTTAAACCTTCAAATTTGTCATTTTAAAACTAAAACTTAACTTATTCTTTTAATACTCTAATACTCTCTCGAACTTATTCTTCTTCTCGCTCATGGCGCTCGGGTCAGTCAAATTCTGATCTTTAAGAAGCAATTTTTTCGCCTACTGAATAAGGTTTCTAAACAAATAAGAGAGCTTTTTCTTCTCTTTCTCTTCGTGAATTATCCATACAGATTTCAACGGATTTCGCTCAGTGTAGACGCTTAGTTCGCTTTAAAGTGTAGCAGCATATCGTGTTCTAACCTGTTTTACTTTTGATTTTAAATGCGGGAATTTGCCAACGCAATTGGGCAATGCAACAGAACAGCGAGGCGATTGTAAGAGAGCGCTGGAGGAGGGGTGGGAGCGAGTTGGAGCGGCCAGCTTTAACTTAAACTTTCGCTGGCGGGGCAGCTGAGAGGATCTCTTGCCTGCAGCTGAGTTATCAGACGCCGGCCACGCCCAGCTAAGCCAGTTTCTGTGGGGCAGACAGTTGCCCGTTGCGATTTCTTGTTTTTATTTTGCTGGCTGGCTGGCTGGCTGGCTGGCAGCTGCGCGCCGCCAGCTGTTGCCGCGCGTCATCCTTTGCGGCAGCTGTGCGCGTGGGCAAACGAAAGACTTGGGCAACAAACTTGCTGCACTTCAATTAAAACAGCAACAACAACAAACGTCAATTTATGCAAAACAATTCAATTTTTGCCGCCATTCGTCGGTCATTTACCCTGACAATCGCATTAGGGCGCAACGACAACAACAACAGAAACAACAACAACAACAACAATTGCGGCAACGTACTTGAAACAAAGTTTCGTGTCACGCCTCAAAAACATCGGCGCGTCGAACGTTTCACACGCTGCCTGCTGCAAGTGGGAGGCTCTCGTTGTTGTTGTTGCTGTTGCTGCTGCTGTTGCTGCTGTTGCAGGTGTGTGGGAATCTTGGCAAATAGCAAAAGTTCAATAGCATCGCATCAGCAGCAACTGCTGCAGCTGCTGCTGCAACTGCCTTCTGCCAGCACTGAGAAAAACAATTGTTTAGCTTAACAAGAAAGTACGAGAAATTCGGCCAGCCGAAGTTTTAATAGCCTTCTAGACATTTGCCTTATGGCCTTGCAGATATGTGAGCGACGTGTAGCTCGTAAATGCTGCTGAGTTTGATGAAAGCAGATTCTTGGAAAACAGATTCTTCCCATAAAGCTATATATAGTAATGCGATCTTGATAAGATTTGGCTCATATATCAACAGCATAGTTTAAGTAGTAGATGTTGGAGTTGGTCAAGATATCTTGATAAACAAACAAGTTTTTCTTATAAGAACCT